TGTCCTTCTTCGAATAGCGTTTCGTGATGTTCTTTATAATATCCAAAATTGGATCTTTATCCCCTTCACTACTAGACTTACGGCTTTGAGATTCAGAAGCACTACCCTTCTGCTCTTTACAACTGCCAGCTTTTGAAGAACAAGACTTGTCTGAACAGGATTTACTTTTGGCTTCTTCTGAATCGGTTTTACATTTTAGAATCTCTTCTAAAGGTGGATCTTGTTGTGTTACCGCATCCATCTTGTCAATGCTATCCGTCTGAACACATGTGCCGGTAACAAACCTCCCTGAATCCGTATTACTTCTCAAAAATGGTTTGGGATTTATTTGAACATTCCTTGGATATGTATATCTGACAGTATTACCATCCAGGCAAGAATTAACCAAGCAACATTTATTGAAAGCATCCATAATTTCTTCCTTTGTGGGGTATTTCTTTTGTTCAACAGGTGGTTGTTCAAAAAAGCAATCGCGTGGAGATTGTCTCACTTCATTAGTCATTGAACTAAATATATCAGTAGTTTGAGATTGAACACCTTTGGAACATTCTTCTCTCAAATTAGTCTCTTTTTCATTTGTATCCTTTTTATCCGTACCGACACATTGAGTCGTAAAGTCTTCACATTTATTTTCATTCTGTGGCTTAGAAGGTTGTGAACCAATTTTTACCATCAAAGTCATGTTCGTTCCTTGTATAGGAATAGTAAAGTTGTCAGTCGCTTCTGAATGAGGCATTACATTTGGTTGTACTACGTTATTATTTGGTTCTATGTCAGATTGAATTTCCTTATCTACTTTATTTGAGCAACAAGATCGTGGACTATCATGGTTACTTTTAGCTTCTTCAGCACAAACACATTTATGCTGTATTCTTGGAGATTCGTTACTAACAGTATCTACTTTATCATTGTCATTTCTGGGATGCATGATGTCTGTCTCAGAATTCTTTTTGGAGGTTTCTCTGAACCGTTCATTTATTAATTTGACGCAATCGGCGTCATTAACAATATTAATGTCAGTAAGAGAAGGATCTGCAATTCTTGGATTGATACTGATTTCTGTTTGAATCGACCTTGTGGCTTCATGGACTAAGATTTTATTCATATCAGTTGAGTTATATGATTTTGGTCCAGCGGACGAAGATGACGTAAAACTACGCACACTAGATTTCCGCTGTAGCATTTTTATTGCCAAATTAGTTTGTGATGTCTTGGACATTTTATCAATTTCGGGAATATTTTCTGAGCTACTACTACGACTGAATTTTTGATACTGTTGCTCATATGCGTTATCTCGTTCTTTCGAAGTTGATGGTTGGGAAGCGTCGTCAGGCTTATTAGGCTTAGAGAGCGAGTCGCCCATACATTGCACACCAACTGTGTTGGACGTTTTTGATGTGGCATTTTCTAATTGAACCCCTCTAGTAGTCAAACGCGAACATTTGTAAATCAGCATGTTGTCAGGCATTTCTTGTTGGGGTGCCTTTTTGTTGCACAAACACACAAATTTTATATCTCCAGCATCATCTGATACAACATGCGCAACGTTTCTGGGTGAAATCCTATTGCTTCCACAACACTCGCAATCGATCACTTTTTGTACTGGTTGTCTTTGTTTTTCGGCAGATCCTTCATTGCTGTTATTTTTTATATTAACTTGTACAGAACTATCAACTGCAGCTTTAGGAAACGCAAATTGACGAGTACAACAACATTGATGGTGATGGTCATCTCTGCTGTGACCAGCTTTTGCTTCTTTCATTTCATTTTGAAGCTGTTTCTTCAAATTAGCCTTTCTATTATCGTCAGAATTGCCCGAAGATAACGTAAAAACCGAATGACTTCGATGTTTTCTTATGGAACTGTGGTTTTGAAAATCGTAATTAGAATTAGAGCCCCCCTCCAATTTGCTAGCATCACCAGACCCATCGTCGTAATTATTTCGAGTTAAATCTTTTATTAGATCTTTTAGTTTATTGTTAACATGAACATCAGTATGTGGTACTTTGAATGCAGTGTCTGAACACACTAATTTCTGTTTTAGAAAGTTTTCTTTATCTTTCAGATGTTTTTTATATGCTTGTTCTCTTCTAAGAGCTTCTAGATATTTCTGGTACAATTCCTCTGATGATGTTTTAGCGAATGCCGTATCCGACGAGCGTTTACCACTAGACACGTCAGATTCAGTAGGTGTCGTTGGTTTCAGAGGATTTGGGACTATAGGCTTCTCACTATTTGAAACAGAAGGCAAATTAGGGGCACTTTGCGATGTTGAAGCTAAAACATTTGCGTTGAATTTATCTAAACGCAATATTGATTTCCTTGGTTGCGATTTGGGATTTATGTCAATATTATTGCTATCTGAAGTGCTGGTTGTAGTGTGACTCTCACCTAGACCTAATTTTTTGCTGCTGAAACTTAAGCCAGACAAAAAATCTGTTGTACTTTCGTCATCTCTGTACCTTGACTTGAGAAGTCTTTGGACTACTTCTTTAACGAGTTTGTTTTTTAATTCAGCGTCGTCATTTGATTTGCGTAACGCGACTTTTAGGAGGTCTATGCTCTTCTCTAAGTCTTTAGTAAATGAATGTTTTGAATCTTTGCTAGATTCAGTAGTTGTGACTGCGCCACTGGATTCCAAACTAGACTTATTTCCCGTAGCATTGTTGTTAGATCTAGGTTGTTCCTGATTCATTTGGTTTTGGTTATAAACATGCCCAGGCATATATTCGAAGCTTTCTGCAGCCGAAACTTGCTCCATGCTTTTTTCTTGAGGAATATTTTCTTTGTCAGCAGTTGGTTTCTTTTTGCTTCTTAATTTTCTTCTAGCAATTTTAAGCTTCTTTTTGCGAAACTTCTTTTTTATGGTATTGAGACTTATTAAGACTGGAACTTTTTGGTAGCAAACTTGTGGGGCCTGGTCAGCTCTGGGGCTAGATTGTTGTCTAGTTTTAGTCAGTGTAGTTTGGATTTCTTTATCCATTTTGATTTCAGAGTTCTCTCCAGTTCTTGGTGCAGTTTCAGGAGTTACATTGAGATCTTTTTTTATATTGTCCAAGCTTATGCCACCATCTCTTTCCATGTTGAAGGATATGTGTTTAGTCAAGTTAACATTAATAGGTTGGGATGGACTTATTTCAGAGCCTTGAGGAACGCTAACTTCAACAACATCAACATCTTTTTTATATATTTTAGTTGTTTTTCTCATACCGCCTTTTTTACTTTTAGATTTGTTTTCATTTATGTCAACAGGAGTCGAATGTGCAGTAGGAGCACCTAGATCGTCATTATTTTTGGTGTCATTGTTAGAGTATTGTTGTTTTAGAGCAAGTCTTTCTAACGTGCTGAGGCTAGAAGCGGACGTTTTTGTGCCACTTTCATTGCCGTAGCCAACGTCAGCTAACGAGTCCCATTCGAGTTTTCTTTGAGATGTAATGCTACTGGTCGGTGAGTGTGGTTTGTTCATCGAGGTGTCCAATGTCACGTCTATGGCTGAAATTATGACAATGATTGATATAAGTGCAAGTTTACAGTTGAGATTGCTCAATTATCATGATGATGTAAAATATTTTTAAATGGCAGAAATACTGTGAATTATTTTCAAGGGAACAGACACTACTTATATGAATGAAAAGAAAAAATCTAATATGAAACCTACTGTTGTAACTTAAATATCAAACTATTAACCTAAAATTTTAATAAACTAGATAATATAAATAAATACTTACACTTCTGAGACTGATTATCGTCATTAAATTCATTGACCGAGTCTTCGTCAGTATTTATTGATGCAACTTCTTCTACAATAATCGGTGGTGATTCCGAGTCACTCTTGGTTTTTGTGTTGTCTTCCTGTAAATTATAATAATAAATTATAGTAAAGAAGTCTATGCAAACCCTCATAATTAAAATCAATGAAATCTCTTCTTTATGTTAAAATTCAATAATTAGGGAGTCAAAATAAAACAAAAAAGCAAACTCAAGAATTAGGTAGCTACTCAAATAATTAAGATTAATTTTATTTAAATTCTACTCATCACAATAAAACATTTTTTTATGTAGAACAAGGCAGGTATTTGACTTGTGTAGATGGTATTGTAATTTGTAACCCAAAAACAAGTTAAGCCTCATAGCGCCCGGTTCCTATACTCCAACCAGTTAAACAAATATGATGAAGTCTAGAATGGTAAATATCATTTTAGAGAAAGGTGGATTTCATTAAATTGACAGTTTTACTGTGCGTTTGCTCATAATTTATTGGTTATAGTAAATATTGACATTATACCTGAGAACTGCACGGCTCTGGCATAGAGCATTTGATAGAGATTCTGCAAAGCTCAGTCGAAGATTCACTCTTTCTCTCCCCCGAATCCGATGAGTCTGTATGCGACTTCATTCTTCTCCAAAACAGGCTGCTCACGTCCCTAACCTCTGTCTCAGCCGAAGACAACGAAAAGTACTGCTCCAAATCTCTTTTACGGCCAAACTTTTTGTAATAATCAAGTATCACAGAGTTCACTACAGCATTTGTTTCATCAACAGATTTTTCTCCATCATTTTCGTTTTCACCGCATTCCATGTTTCACATTAGGTAACTTGTTGGAAAATTTGTGGAAGGAAATTAGTAAAATAGCGATCAAATCGTTTTTGAGTTGTAAAATTTTAAAAAGACGCTGTAAACAAAACACTTCTTCTTCTTCTTTTATTGATGGCGATGAACTTGTGCTTTTTCGCCACTGTTCCGCCAATGTCACGTGCGCAGCTTTTACACAGTGATAGAATCAAATAAAATAAAATAAAAAAAAAAAGATTTTTTTCTACAAGACTAAGCGAACTTATCGACCTAAAACAAAAAAGACGTCACAAATCACAATCACGAATAAGACAACACAAAAAAGACAAAACACACAAAAATTTTGTACATTAGGGGTTGGGGAAAGGGTTGGGGGTGGTTTTATGTAACAGAGAATAAAAAAAAAAAAAAAAATTTGACACGGGGGTTGTTATAATAAATTTCGCAAGGCCAATTTTTTCCTTACCTACAAATTAATTTTGTTAATTTTAATGAATTTCGCAAGTGAATTTAAAATAGGACAGCTAATGGTGTTAAGTACACATTTAATATTAGAGGGACGGGGGAAAGTTTTAGGGAGAAAATCGTACAAAGAAGATCCAATTTTAGGACAATGAGGATCATTTCGATTTTTAGCTGTGAATGCAGATTTATAGGGCTAAGAAATCTTTAATACACAGTGCAAAAATTTTTGTTCTACGACAAAAATTGATGAAGTTATNAATTAAAAAAGATATGGTTGGTTGTTCCTTCATCCAGGCCGCACTCGCAAATGGAGCTATCTCTAATGTGTATTTTCGCGAGGTGGACAGGGGTGCACGCATGACCAAGGCGCAGGCGACAGATGATGGAGACCGTTCTTTTTGGTAAGTTCTTATGTCTAAAAAACCAAGGTTTTGAAGGGATATCCTTTTGTATATCAGCGTAATATTTACCAACCATTCTTTTGGAATTTTCCCAATGAGTATTCCACGATGAGTATAAGTGATTTCGAGGGAGAGCGGAGGCATCATGGGCAAATAGCCTATAGTGATCCAGCGAGCCAGAAGATGTAGCAAGTTTAGCGCATGAATCAACTGTTTCGTTGCCTGGGATACCTCGATGGCTTGGGATCCAAGTCAAGACGATATTTAATCCCTCTAGTTTGCATTTAAAGAGAGCTTCTCTGATTTTAAAGATAATGGGAAATTTGGTTTTTGATTTAAAGGGGTTAGCTAAAATGGCTTGAAGACAGCTTAGAGAATCGGTGAAAATCAAAGAGTTGTTAAGACGATGGGAGATAGAGTATCGGATAGCCTCTAATATTGCAACCGATTCTCCGGTGAAAACTGATGTTACTGGGGGACATTTAAAACTTAATGCTATTTTGTACGCAGGTATCCAGACAGCTGCGCCAGTGCAGCCACCTTCGTCCAGCTTGGAGGCATCAGTAAATATCTTGATCCAGCCTTGCCAGTGCTCGGAGACAATATTAACAAATTCTTGACCTGCTGAGCAGGAATCCTTATTTATGCCAAAGTTTAAAATAATTGGGGGCTGATAAAGTAGGGATTCAAAGCTGTTTGTGAAAAGGGGATTAAGTGGAATTTTTTCAATTGGAGTGGGCAAACGGGTAAATTTCTGGTAACTTAACAGAATGCATGGCAAATTTCGAGAGGGATCAGAGCTGCTAAGTGAAGAGAGTAGTGTTAATTTCTCATTTAACGGGTGAGAGGAGTTTTGAGAAACTTTTATGTAAAATCTGTCACAGAGGTACTGTCTGCGCAAATAGAGGGGAGGCTCCACGCACTCGACTTGCAGAGCATTAATAGGTGAGGATTTCATGGCTCCCAATACTATGCGAAGACATTTAGACTGGGTTTTATTGAGTTTCTCGAGGACGGCTTTGTTACATGGATCTAAAAGGAATGAAGCGTAATCAAAATGGCTACGAACAATAGCATTATACAAAAGTTTTTGTGAGTATGGGTGAGCACCCCACCAGGTACCTGAGAGGGCTCGGAGGATATTCAACCCTTTTTCAGCTTTTCCGAGAATATAATTAAAATGTGGAATGCCTGTTAGTCGGGTGTCTAAAATTAGGCCTAAAAACTTCACTTGGTTATCACATGGAATGCTATTGCCGTTTAGTGATATNTTAAACGAGAGCTTGCTTCGCGAATAGAGTTAGAGGAGTAATACAAGGCAATGTCGTCCGCGTACTGTAGGATGTTGCAGAAAGAGTCTACTGTCCTGTTTAGGTCATACGTATATAGGCTGTAGAGCAGAGGGCTAAGCACTGAACCTTGCGGGAGACCTTTCCAAACTAAACGAGGGACAATAGAATCTTGACATCTCACTGCAATTGACCTAGACATCAATGAGTTACAGATGAGACGTACCAGTTTCTCCGGGATACTCAGATGAAGCAATTTTTGCCTGAGCAATGGGAGCAAAACATTGTCGTACGCAGAGGCAATGTCTAAAAAAACCCCAACAAGATATTCTTTATTTTTAAAGGCTACTCGGATATCTGTTGTTAAGATACTCAAACTATCTAGAGTGCTTAAACCTTTGCGGAAACCAAATTGGGATAAAGGAAGGATTTTGTTGGATTCCAAATGCCACTCCAGACGGTTTCTTATCATGTGTTCTAATATTTTCAGGAGAACGGAAGAAAGAGCTATAGGGCGGTAAGAGTTGGGATCTGAAGGATCTTTTCCTGGTTTGGGTATTGGAATGACAATCTGTTGCTTCCAAGCTTCCGGAAGAGAACCTTGATCCAGGAACGAGTTAACAATTTCAAGGAAGTATGACTTAGCTCTTTCTGGGGATTTAATTATAAAAGAGTAGGGGATACCATCTATCCCAGGGGATGAATCCTTTAAACCATCTAAGGCTAACATAAGTTCTTCAAAAGAAAAGGGCCTATCTAAATAATTTACATGAGGAAGGAAGCTACTGGGAGATGGAAAACTATCTATAAAGGGAACAAACGGAGGAGCCAATTTATCAGCGAAATCATTAAGCCAAGTAGAGGGGTCGTTTGACGGAGAATTTAATGGGGTTAAAGACACACGGTAACGTTTTATCTGTTTCCACACTATAGAGGAAGGGGTCCTTGGGGACATGCCCTCACAGAACCCAATCCATCCTTTTTTCTTCTTTTTAGCCAGGAATTTCCTAGTTTGGGCAGCCGTTTTTTGGTATCCAATGTAATTCTCCATAGTCATTGAACGATTGTACCTTTTTTCAGCTTCTTTTCGTTTTTTGACACTGGCAGTACACTCAGCGTCCCACCAAGGGGGAGAAATCTTATGAGACGGGTTTTTCAAAGGGATGTGCTCGTTCGCAGATGATTCTAAGATGTTTACGAAATCAGGATAGACAGAAAGGGCATTTTCATTAGAGATGTTGGGAAGGTCTATAAGTTTTTCGTTGACTGACCTATAAAAACCTGGCCAGTCAGCGTTATTTATTTTGTATTTTAGAAGAGGTGGGAGTCGGCTAATTGGAGTATTATTATCGGGAAGCGAAATTAAAATAGGGAAATGATCGCTACCGAACGTGCTATTAAGGACGCTCCACGAAAGGAGCGAAGATAAATTTGGAGAACAAAAAGAAACATCCACGGCAGAAGCTGGATTTTGAGTAGGAGCACACCTTCTGGTTGGACAGCCATTGTTCAAAATACAAAGATCTAAATCATCCAAAAGGTCCAATAGTAATGATCCAGAAGAGTCGGAGTGATACGAGCCCCACGAGACGTGGTGAGCATTAAGGTCGCCCATAATCAGGACAGGAGGAGGAAGGGATAAAATGGCAGAGCGCAATTCATTAATGGAGGAAGAGTTAGGACGGGGAATATAAACGGATAGGAAGGATATGTCAAATACTCGCACGGCCACGACATTAATATCTTGGCTATGCGAGGGGAGGGGAAGTTGACTATAGCGGAGAAAGCGCCTTACAAGTAAGGCACTTCCCGCGTAACCATCACTTCTATCATCACGGAGGCATGAATAGCCTGATACACGGAAGTGTGAACCAGGCACCAACCATGTCTCCGAGACGGCTAGAACCGATGGAGAGAATTTATTTAATAAAAAGATTAATTCGTGCTTTTTACGTCTAATGCTTTGGCAGTTCCATTGAACTACCTTTTTGTCCATTATTAATATCAGTTAATTGCGAGATTTGGGAAAGCATTTGTGCAACGTTGGACGGTANGTTAATGTTGGATTAGCTGGTTTTCGACCACATTTAGGTAGATGCCATAATATTATGTCCAGATCGGTTTATAGTTTTTAGGGTTCCGTAGTCCTGACATGGAACCCTTATAGTTTCGATATGTCTGGCTGTCTGTCTGTCCGAGGTTTTGCTTGGACATTACTGGCACTAGAGAGCTGTAATTTTGTGGAGGTATGTATATTGATCACGCCGACAAAACGGTTTGGCCGGAGTATAAGTTGCATGTCCTAAATGTGTTATGGTGAGACTTCGGAGTTTGCTTTTATGCGCTAGTGGGTCAGCTAAGCATTGGTCACATCTAGCTGAGTTTGCAACAGTCTATTATAGTGGCTTTAAGATCACTGTTCACATCTGAGGAAGGCCACAGTTGTTTCTGGTGACTGAGCTACTTTACTAGTAAATATTATTGATATTATGTTGTAGAGGACCGGACCAATTACGGAGTACTGGGATACTCAAGCTCTGCAGCTAAAAAAAATCTTGTCACAGAGTTTGACTTGAAACTATGCCATAAATTGATGGTCGATTACTACATGCGCCATACTTAAGCAAGGGGATAAACGTCCAAGGACGGTCTTTTCCCACAATTTTGACAAGAGTCAGGTTAATAGAGCGATAGGATGAGATTTTGTTAGGCGGCTTTCCAGCCTTATGGATAATTTACCAAAGCTAAGGAACTTGCGTTGCGAGGCTCTCACTTAGTATGTTGGCCGTTTGGTGTAGTGGTACGTTCGTAATCTATGCCGGAGGTCGCGGATTCGATTCTCGCACAATAGAAACATTTGTAAAAAAAAAACAAATAGTGCAGTATAGGAGTCGGCGCGCCGACAGCCGATCGTCGGCGGCGGCGGCGTGAAAAATTTCGCGGCGGCGGCGGCGCGCCGGCGTGGCGCCCACCTCTACAACGAATATAATAAAAAGTTAAGATTTATTAAAATTCAGTAATATTCATCAAAATAAATTATTGCTCTGACATATCTATTGAAATTAAAATTTGTCTCGCACGCAATCGACCGTTTGTTGTTATAAGTAAACCCAAAAAGTAAACGCAATTTATGTATAAATATGATTTCTTGCAAATAAAGTGAAGTTAATCGATTCAATTGATTACGTATAAGTAATTTCTATAACAAATTCTATCTAAGATTATGATTTAGACGATTGACAATATTTAAGAACTTGCTCACTTTTCTGCAAAAACGCACGTGATATCTCATACACTGCACGTAACGTAGAATAGGTTGTGTTGCACGCTTCCATATACTTAACAAAACCAACCTAAAATATACAGGACTCATCCTCAAATTCTGTTCTTCCAGATCCTATCCCTTTCTAAGCAAGTGGATCTGACAGAGAGGCAAGTGGAGCGATGGTGGCGCCTGCGCCGCAGCCAGGACAAGCCGTCGAATCTGGTGAAGTTCTGCGAGAACCTATGGCTGTGTACCTTCTATCTGTACAACTTCTCTTATGGCGTTTTCGTGCTGTGGGACAAGGACTGGTTGTGGGACATCGATCAGTGCTATGTGGGGTATCCTCATCAGGTCAGTTGGGTAGATATTGGACTTTTTGCTGATAATAGAATGGAGATGTAGGAATTGGATGTTTTGATATTTTTTGCCGGTGGATCGTATGTGAAAGTTAGACAAACTTAACCCATCATCAAAAAAAGTTTCTTGGGCGAGTATAAGGAAAAATACATAGCATATAGCTCGTAGAGCTGATGGCCGCTGGGGCAGAAAAATTCAATCCAGCGACTTGGCCCGTGGACCAAGCTAAAATTGGGCCAAGTCACTGGAAGACTCCGACGATCTGGTGAAGGTCACGGGACAGCACAGGACCGGTCGTTATGGAAATTCTTCGGAGGACTTGGTCCAGCAGTGGACGTCATTGCGCTGAAACGATAAAGAAAAATGTTTGATTGTTGCGATGGTGTTTTATGACAAAACATGCCTCGAACGAACAAGCAATTCACAAAAGTTATAAGTATCCTGTTTGAATGAATAAATAGTTCTCGATATGAAACATTATAATATGTTTTTATCGATGACGTTTTTACTGCTTATAAAAAGTTAAACGCACATACATTTTTATTGATGATTGACCCCAATCACTGAGGTTACCTATGTAGTTGTGGAATGTCATCTTAGCAGTTCCACTAGAGATAATTATTTTATTGCACTTGGTTTGGTCTCTCGACAGTTGAAACAATACTAAAATGTTATTCATCATGACATTATGTAAATGGTACCTACTTACTTGCGTTCATTATCATCTTTTATTTATGACAACGGTATATTGTAAGGGGCGTCGTATTTTGGATACAAAATATCGCCTTAAAACAACTAAAAAGGCCATTATACAAGATAGCGAGGGAAGTCTATCCTTAACTTCAAAATCCTCTTAGAGGGCGTTTATTAATTACGTAGGTGATGTTGGCCTCTTTCACCTTGGTGAGATATCGTGAGATTTAGCTCGACTCCCTCTCCCTCACGTAAGATTTTGTGAGAATCGGCTTGATTGAACCCCTCCCCCCTTAAACGCCTCACTTAATGTCCAATGGCAGTTTAAATTTCCCCTGCGACATACTTGGCCTGGTGGCTCACTGGTTTTTTATTGCAGTCTAGCTGTAGAACACAAACAGATCACAGAAACTAAAGGGAGATGTGACAAAGGGGGCGGGGCCGGTGTCGCAGCAATATGCCCAAAAACAGAACACATTGCTCGTGACATCAATGATGACAGCAGCGAAGTCATAATGTAAACAGTTTACATTGTTTGCGTTAATACTAAAGAATTATTCGAACGTTGAGTACTGATACCGCAGTGGATAATGAGCACACATTTTGATTACTTTGTGTGTGTGAATTTCTAATGCGAGACTTGAGTTTCGAACTCAGCGCATTAGTTGGCATCTCTCTATATATCTCTTTTCTGTAGAACCTAGTTACACAAGAGTTAAAGTTACAACCACGGGTATGAGAATTAGGAATAGTCCCGTGTAGATGTCACACCCACCGTTCTTCTCTTCCAGGGTTACACCAACGACGTATGGTGGTACTACATGATCTCCTCAGCTTTCTACTGGTCTCTGACCTTCTCCCACTTCTGGGACGTGCGCCGCAAGGACTTCTGGCAGATGTTCGTCCACCATGTCGCCACCATCGCTCTGCTGACCTTCAGCTGGGTCTGCAACCTGCACAGGATCGGGACTTTGGTGCTGCTGCTGCACGATTTCGCTGATATATTTTTAGTAGTGAGTGTGAATAGATTTTATTGCTATGTATTTAGAGTCTGGTTTGTTGCAGTTTCCGCTCGTGTTTAAGGTTCATTGTAGTGTGAGAAAACTGCGCAAGAGTCGAGAATGGACTTCGCTATGGCCAAAGAGGGGCTCACAAAGTTTGAGGTATAGTTCTTGCAACTCACGAAAGCGAGTAAGCTTTACTTGTGTGTGTACGTGTACATGCACATAACGTTTAGTGTAATGTCTATCAAAACTTTTGAAAAACGAACAGTAACGAGCCACCACACTTGTAAAGCTTACTCGCCTTCGTGAATTGCAACAACTATAGTTTGGAACAAATCTCTCAAAGCTTCATCATACAGAAAATGAGCTTATGCATGAAATTCATCGCGTTCTAGTGACGTCAAAATTCTTAACAATCTATGGACGATGACACATAGATGTCGTTGTGTTCTCTCTTGACAGTTTCTGCCCTCTAAAAATGTTATTGTCCTGCAACGAACCGTCCCATCAGTAACATTGACATGGGGCGCCACCGTCATTACCGGATCGCTCGTTCCGATTCTTGCCATGTTGGAAACTATACAGTTGAACGATAGTGGCGCCTCCCTGTCAATGAGTTTGGTGGGACAGTTCAGTGTAGTTCATCTATAAGTAACTGCCTGAAACCACCGAAATTAAAAGTAAAATCAATCATTCAAAATTCCAAACCATAGATAAATTGTCTTTGGTAATTCTCACAAGGGATATTTTACTACAGTCTGGTCTGCGAGCACGTAGAATTTTGTCCAATGACCCCAAGCTACCCATCTTTATCGCTCGCGCGTAATTATATTGCTGTCGCGACTGTGTGACGGGAGCCCGCAGTGAGTGTGCGAGCGCGACAGCAACATAATTACGCGCGAGCGATAAGGATGGGTGGGTAGCTTGGGGTCATTGGACAAAATTCTACGTGCTCACAGACCGGGCTTTAACAAGTTCCTCTGGTACGTAGTTAATGTATTTCTATTGCAATATTCCAGGCAGCGAAGGCGGCCAAATACGCGAACTTCCAAAGACTGTGTGACGTGATATTCGCCGTGTTCACTGTCGCGTGGATTGTCACGCGGCTGGGCTTCTATCCCTTCTACATTATATGGAGGTATGACTGTTATTACATACATTATCATGTGTTAGCTATGTACTCTAACTTCATCATTACAATTATAGCAAGGGGCGCAAAAATTCCACAATTTTTCGTCTATTCAGAAGTAATTTATTCCCAAAGCAATATACCCAGATATGAAGAAAACTTCAGAAATCAGGAAACGGGAAGCAAGTCTGACTGATTACGGGGAAACTGCTCCACGTTCAAACGTTATTAGTTTATCTAAATGGGAGAGTGATGCCCGTTTTCATCAATCCCTAATTTTTCCCCTATGAAAACAAAATTCCTGTTATGTGTTCTACCATGGGGTCACTTAAAAATGAAGGATTGATGGTAAAAAGGAAAGGAAAGGGGAAGCACAAAAGATCCCCATGAGTCAAAATGCATACACTAATGCATGCCCCCGAATGAGATACGAAGTTTTTGACGAATTAATAATGTAGTGTTTTCCTTTCAGCACGTCGATCCGCGCGCCAATGCTGCTGCCGATGTTCGCAGCGTACTATATCTTCAACGCGATGCTGTGCTTCTTGTTAGCGCTGCACGTGCTATGGAGCTGGCTCATCCTGCAGGTCGCCTACAAGGCCATCAGCGCGGGGCAGGTATGGACCTTATGCCGCGGGGATCAGCGCACAGTGCGATGCTGTGCGTCCGCTTGGCGCTGCACGTGCTATGGAGCTGGCTCATCCTGCAGGTCGCCTACAAGGCCATCAGCGCGGGACAGGTATGGACCTTATGCCGCGGGGATACGGCGCACAGTGCGATGCTGTGCGTCCGCTTGGTGCTATGAGCTGGCTCATCCTGCATGTCGCCTACAAGGCCATCAGCGCCGGGCAGGTAGGGACCTTATGCCGCGGGGATACGGCGCACAGTGCGACGCTGTGCGTCCGCTTGGCGCTGCGCGTGCTATGAGCTGGCTCATCCTGCAGGTCGCCTACAAGGCCATCAGCTGGCTCATCCTGCAGGCCTGTATCTCACTTGTGTAATGTAATGGTAAGTGATGATCAGGCCGAAAGTGGAAGCGAGCTCACCCGGAATCCTCAACCACGGAGGAACTGGCTATCTTACCTCTAACTGCCGGAACACAACAATGCTGTTAACATTGTTGTTATGGCGACAGACTTAGGTAAGATGGTGGTAGCTAGCCAGGCGGACTTAGAACAAGCCCTACCACCAACCAAACCGAACAGAAAAATCTGCCCCCATTGGGAATCAAACCCGGGACCTCTGCGTCTGAAGCAGGTGGTCTTACCACTAGACCACAGAGGCGGTATAGACCTTATGCCGCGGGGATATGTCGCAGAGTGCGATGCTGTTTTTGTGGAGCTAACTCAATATTTAGGTCGACTCTAGACCTTATGCTGTGGTTATAAAGCTCAGTGTACGATGCTGTGGAGCTGGATCATTCTACGCGGAGTGGTTAAGAGCGGTTTCATGTTATTTCCAAATCCGAATCCGTTACAATACGGAGTAATCGTAGAACTTTTTGTATAGTTTTTACACACTAGATCCGATATCCATCGTCAGATTTATCTAAAGCCCGATCTGCGAGCACGTAGAATTTTGTTCAATGACCCCAAGCTACCCATCCTTATCGCTCGCGCGTAATTATGTTGCTGTCACTCTCGCACACTCGCTGCGGCCGCCCGTCGCACAGTCGCGACAGCAATATAAATACGCGCGAGCGATAAGGATTAGCTTGGGGTCATTGGACAAAATTGTACGTGCTTGCAGACCAGACTATAGTTAGTTTTTTAGATACGCACTATGAAAGACTTGTATCAGATACAAAGCGAAACCGCTCTAATGCAATACTCATAAGGTTCACAATGTGTTACAAAAATATTGCGTTGCTTATCTTGTTAAGTTGACCAATTTTGGACCTTAACACAAGGTTACCAAGGATTAAAATAAATCCTGTATAATTTCAGATGGAGGGTGACATCCGTAGCTCCAGTTCAGAGATCAGCGATAGTTCCCACTCCAACCACAGCACTCCGAATCGCATCAACAATAAAAAGTAAGTTCTATCCCACTTGTTTTAAAGTACAATGCTGAACAAACGCTTCAAGTAGTGTTGTAGATCTTACAGACGACAGCGCCATTAGAATAAATACACCACTACATTTTTATCACCGAAAAAATTTTAACAGATTATGTAGAAACGTGTGAAAGATTTTAAAGTAAAAAAAAATATTTTTTTCATAAAGTTAATTTTTTTATTAAATTTTCTTTAGTCCGTATTTAACGCCGCTGCTCGCTAGAGTAGTCGTACGCGCTCGCACATTGCCCCGATCTGTCTATCTCTCTCACGCCTCGACCACGCTTCCAGTGTTAAGTGCTAGCGACTCGTGGGTCCATAAATTACCAATTTTGGGATGAAGTTTTGAGTAACTTTATTTAACTTTTTTTTTTGTATAAATAGGACCAGTATCAATAACTCATTACCCAGATATTTTTTTTCGGTGATAAAAATGTAGTGGTGTATGGATCGTTTCATCCACGAAGACGCGCCCCACCAATTTTTGGTCTCGGTCGCGCGGGGTGCGGGGAATTTGATCCGAGCAATCCGAGCGTCATTATTGTAGAGTGCGTGTGCACGCATGGATGATTTAGCGTGTACCGATAACACTCAAACATTAGCGGAAGAATGGTGGGGCGCGTCTTCGTGCATGAAACGATCTATTCCTGGCATCTTATGTTGATGTAATAGGTACTATTTTCCAACAAAAAATATGCCTGAAGTGCTGTCGACTGGACTTTGATGTTCCTATTTATTTTTTAATTCCCTTTAGTTTTACTATGTAAAAAATCTGACTTGGTTATTTGGTAAAATATTTTTCAAAGCCGTGCGATTCCGGCATAGTAGAATAGAAACACCCAATCTTCCCGAAGATGTCGTTAAAGGTGACAAAATATGCGAACATAAGGCCTCCCCAACCCGTCTATAGTCTGGTCGCTGAGCACGTAGAATTTTGTCCATTGACCCCAAGCTACCCATCCTTATCGCTCGCGCGTAATTATATTGCTGTCGCGACTGTGCGACGGGCGCCCGCAGTGAGTGTGCGAGCGCAACAGCAACATAATTACGCGCGAGCGATAAGGATGGGTAGCTTGGGGTCATTGGACAAAATTCGACGTGCTCAGAGACCGGGCTTTAGCTAGCGTTAAGAGTGAAGGCCAAATCCTCCATTTGCCTCTAGTAAACTAGAGAGTTGTACTCCTGCAGTGGAGACTAAACCTGATGATGATGATGGGATGTTGCCAATGGTCTTGGCGACCATAATGAAGGGAAGTCGATCCTTAATTTCGAACTCCTCCTATGTTTTTCTGATAATTTTGTAACTTCAAGAACATAGGAGTTCTTCTCTCTTCTAGAACATAGGAGAATTTTGTTGCGGGTCCAAAGACAGTTTAACTTTCCCCGGGACAAACTTAGCCTTCACTGGTTGGGTATTTATTGTCAAGCTGTAGATCCTGGCTACACAGGAGTTCCAGTGGGAACGAGAGTTGGGAATAGTCCCGTGTTCAGTCAAATATAATGTTGCTAAGTAGTTCAGGGACAAACTTGACCTTCACTGGTTGGGTTTTTACTGTCAAGCTGTAGATCCTGGCTACAAGAGTTACAGTGGGAACAAGAGGTAGGAATAGTCCCGTATTCTGACAAATAAGTGAATCTTGCTAAGTAGTTCAAGGGCAAACTTGACCTTCACTTGTTGGGTTTTTATTTGTCAAGCTGTAGATCCTGGATGCAAAAGTTACAGTGGGAACAGTCCCGTATTATGTGTTTAATGTTGCTAAGCAGTACAAGTTTCGTTACGCAGGTTCGTGCGAATCAAAAGGCGCAGTTTGGCCGAAATCTGCAATAGCCCATACTCCTGGCCCTGTCAGCAAGTAGAGAAATGGCCCTTACCCCCTATATTATATGGCGACTGAACCTACCATATTATATGTATACTAATTCTATATACACGCTTCTACTTTGATCTCGTGTGACGTTTACGCTTTGAGGTTGTTTTTTGGTCTGTGATTTGTTTGGATCTCATCAAGGATGGACAGATGACGGACAAATGACGTATAGATGACGGACTATTATGACGTATAGATGACAGAACGTTAAGGCGAGTTGTACCACCTTACTAATATAATGCTTTTTATTTTATATTTGACAGACTTTAGACGTTTGATATCGTTAAAACAAGATGGTGCAACCCAGCCTTAAGCCGGTTTTCACCATCAGTCCCTTTTTTTAGGCGACACCTATGTAAACAAAATTCCTGTTATGTGTTACCATAGGGGTCACTTTAAAATTAGGGATTGATGGTGAAAACGGGCATTAGACAAACAAATTTTTATAGGTGCTATGTCCGTTACCTGTCCATGCATATAATCCCATCATCAAGAAGCAAACGTAAAATGACGCTTCTTAACTTTGTGATAGTGCTTGTTTTCTATTAACATTTTTTCAAATCAAATCAATCATTGCCCAAGCGCACGATCAAACCTATAAAAAGAAATTAATTTAAATATCATGACAACCTTTTTGGTACAAAAATCTTCTAAACGCTTAACAAATTATTATATTGATCATTTTTAATATTCATTTTTATTTTACATTGTTTTTGTTATTTTCATCTATTAATATCAATAATATTAAGTTAATTATTAAAGATTTTTTTTTGTAAATAAATGTTATTCGATTTGATACTATTCTTTTATTTATGTTCTGGATAGAAATCCTAGTCTGTATTTAAATTGGCATATTAATTAGTGCATTCGATTTTATAGTTTGAAGCATTCAGTGCATAATGTTTAATTATTGGTTTTATTTATATTTTCTATGCTACTAAAATGTAGTTAAAATTCAGAAAACCCTTAAGTTAAACAGATCTGGATTTTTTTTCTAGCCTATGAGGCGTTCACAACACAATCATATCAACTCTATTAATATTAAAATGATCTGAATGTATGACATATGTATTTCATGACGAGTAAAAGCTGCTACGTGGTATGTAAAAGCAGGGCCCTGTAGGTATACAAATGCCATACTATCCTCGCAAGTTGCAATAGAGCAATTGACACCTTTAAGTAATGGACAATTTGACACCATTCTCCAATAATTCGAAACCACAACTTTTCTAAAAAGACACTTCATTCTGGTCTTATGGACTTAATTAATTTTAAATTACCTGTAAATTACGATTTTTGGTCGCATTGTAATTGAAAAAAGTAGTATAATTGAGTTGACAAAATAGTGACGTCACTTGCTTGTAGTGCCATACAAAATGTATGAGAGAAGAGTTTCGTTTTGACAGTTTTAAAAAGTACTTCAATTGATTGGTGGTGTCAACATGTCTATTGGCATTTGTGATGTCAAACTTATGCTCCTTCACGCCGTTTAATGTCGCGAGGCACTGCCTCAGTTATGCGCTAGATTTATAGAAAAGTTGATTTTACAATAATTGAGGAAAGGTTATAAGAATAAGATAAAGTCAAATAAACCTTTTTTTAATATTATGTAAATTTACGCATTTTGTAACTGGCAACATTTCTTCCAGGGAGACATAGGGTCCCGCCGGCCGTGCGCGACGCGCCCGCGCTCCGTCACGGGAGCGCACTCGCGCGCACGTGCTTACTAACGGCACGTGATGTCCGCTGCACGCGCACGCGCGCTTCTGATCCTGACTACGTCACGTGTTTAGTGAAGTGCACTTTTATTCTTGATTACGTCACGTGTCCTGTGAAGCGCACTATACGTCAATTCTCTAGTGAAGTGCACTTTGGTTTATTACGTCAGTCGTGTCCAGTAAAGCGCGCGTTCTACGTCTACGTCACACGTCTGGTGAAGTGCGCTTCTATACCAGATTGATACATCACGTGTCTAGTGAAATGTATTCTTGATTACGTCACGTGTTCAGTGAAGTGCTCTTCTATTTCTGATTACGTCACGTGTCTAGTGAAGTTTACGTCTATTCTGGATTACGTCACGCGTCTGGTGAGGTGCGCTTCTATTCCTAATTACGTCACGCGTCCTGTGAAGCGCGCTTCTGTTGCTGATGATGTCACGAGTCTACTGAAGTGCAATATTCTTGATTACGTCACGTGTTCAGTGAGGTGCTCTTCTATTTCTGATTACGTCACGTGTCTAGTGAAGTTCACGTCTATTCTGGATTACGTCACGCGTCTGGTGAGGTGCGCTTCTATTCCTAATTACGTCACGCGTCCTGTGAAGCGCGCTTCTGTTCCTGATTACGTCACGAGGCTACTGAAGTGCAATATTCTTGATTACGTCACGTGTGCAGTAAAGTGCGCTTCTGTTTCTGTCTAGTGAAGTGCTTTGGACAGTGGGGGAGTGTCTTCAATCGCCGGATCTGTACGTATCCTACTGATGTTTCCAACTGTACAATTCTTTGTAGTATTCAGTGGTATGTTGACGGTTGAAACGTGTTTCAAAAGCCGGATTTTTTCAAGTATCAATGAGAAGACGTATATTTATTATTATTTATGGATTAAAATTTAAATTAGCATGCTAAATCTCTGGAGTTGCAAAATTATGAACGTTCATAATGTGTATTGAAATTAAAATACTTTGGAAATACGCCTCCAAACTTTGCTTTGAATACAGAAGTCTCAAAAACGTATGAAAAGTTTTGTTTACATCAGAACTAATTTTATTGATACAATATTATATTTATGAATTATGAATGAAGATCTAGTCTTAACTTTCCATTATGAACAAAAGGAGTTTGACAAATTGTATGAACAAATAATGAGTACCTACTATAGTCTGGTCCGTAAGCACGTAGAATTTTGTCCAATGACCCCTAGCTAACCATCCTTATCGCTCGCGCGTAATTATGTTGCTATCGCGCTCGCACACTCACTGCGGGTGCCAGTCGCACAGTCTCGACAGCAATATAATTACGCGCGAGCGATAAGGATGGGCAGCTAGAGGTCATTGGACAAAATTCTACGTGCTCACGGACCGGGCTTTAGTTGGTCATCATTTTACGATACCAGTCTT